TAAAGAAGATATATACATGTCATTTCTTATAATTTTTAAAATTAATAAATAAAAAAAAATCTTGGACATTTATAATTTAATTTTGAAGCAAATATATTCTTTAATTATTTAATTTTTTTTTTCTGTTTAAAAAATATACGTAGTTTCTCGTTGTGTTTAAAATCAAGATAATTATATTTTGTAAATTAAAAGGGACGTATATCATTTTAAATATAATTTAATTTGAAATTGTAACGCAATAAAGATTTCTTGTAATGATGTCTTTTAAAAAAATTATTTTGTTTTATTAAATATTTTTACATTAAAGCTATTTACTGTAAAAACGATGAAAATAGACAGCTGTAAGAGGAAAAGAAAATATTTTATTTCTTAAAAAAATAAATGTTAAGATTACTTTTAGTCTAAATAAATTGGTGGAAAGTTTCATGAATCTGATACCATTTTCTTCTCTTAACAAAGAATAATTTTTCCATGCTGACGTCGAAAGTCTCTAAACATCACTAAATCGAATTACGAAGTCCAATGAGTGTTTACTTTGCAGCCTATTTAAAATTTCAATTTTTAAAAGATTTTAACAAGAGTTTTTTCTAAGTAATACGTTATCATTTTTTTCTTCTATCAACAGTTTTACTTTATTTTTCCCTCCTCTATTTTATTTTATAATTAAATCTATATAAATGAACATCAACAACATTATGGACGAAAAAATTTTAGTTTGCATATTAATGACATTTTAAAATAATTTAAATTAAATTATATCGTTTTATTATTAATAATTTCCTGAATTTTCATTGATAGATTTTATTTTATTTTTCATGGAAAGAATTAAAGTGGTATTGGATTCAAATGGAGATGGCTGCGAAATGGAATCTAATTTAATTTCAAATGCATTGAAAAAATAAAAAATAAAAGAAAAATAAATATCCTAAGAGATTTGAATTCGAAAATAGTTCATTCAGACTATAATAGTTTCAATGGAGTTCTGATATTTTGCAAAGAAAACAATTGTATATCAACAAACACAATAATAAATTGTTTGTAGATAAACAATTTTGTTCTTGAATCTCTTATTTTGCTTATTGATATATTATTTAATANTGTTGAATACACCTGTAAATAGTAAGTAGACAGAAATTATAATTGTAATGTAAATAGTAACTGTTCAATTAATAGTAATGCACAATAAATTTAACTTAGTTTATGACTTTGGAATTTACTTCATTGTAAGAAAACAATTTAAAAAACAGTTAACATTGTACTGTACATACTTCAAAAAACATTAATCTAAACAACATTAAGTTTCGTGTTAAGTTCTGTACGACTGCTAAAATATATAAAAAGAAAATATTCTATTCTTTTTTATTTAATACAGTTTCCAGATTTATTTTTAATTTTTTAAAACTGTAAATAAGCTAGATTTTAAAATCGAAATTTCCAAATCTTATCCGTCTTCTTTAAATAACAATAATAAGAATAAAAAGTTAAATGGCACAGTATCAAAATTATCTTTTTGATATCTTTTTAAAGTTTAAAAAAAATACATTAAACTTAAATAGAAAAAACTGCTAACATAACTTTTTATATAAAGTTATCGAATGAGTTATATACAAAAAAAAACCCTTTAACTATAGTTTTTTTTTCCTTTTGATACAGATTAAAATGAAGAAGCAGGAACAACTTTTATATGTTCTTCATTCGACAAATTGACAAAACGCCGACAGAGATAAGTTATCTAAGTAAAATGAATTAAGATAAAATACTTCATTTCTCTCCTTTAAAGTAAAACTGACATTTGCTGATCCGACCAGATATCACGTAATTTACAGTTTAGAATTCTTTCATGCATAATATTACTTACTTAATATAGTTGATGTAGTATCTAATTATAATTTTTAATACCAATAAACAACTAGAAAGAGTAAAAATGTTAATATATTTTTTAAACAGAACTTATTTGTTAAGCGTTAAAATTTCTAATTAAAATCTTTACACGATAGAATATTCTTGTACATAATTAACAGTAAATTCAGTCATTTTGAATTTAAAATGTAAATTATATATAAAAACGTAGACAAAGTTCTATTAATATGAAAATTTTATCGGGTATCTTAACGACCCTTGTCTGATACGATAGCTGTAAGCTGTAGTCAGTTAAGAGTAAACATGAAACAAGTGAAGACCTTTTCAGAGCGTGAGTAGAGATCAAATGAAAATCGATAGACGGTCGTGTTGTGGAGAAAACTTAGCCAGAGATTGTCACAATTTCTAGTGACAGGTTATCGGTCATTCTACTGTCAATAGTGAAGCAAAATCTGCAAGCGCTTCTAGTGACAGATGAGTGAGAACATGGACTTCAAATTCATACCACATCCATCCCATCTGTTTACTTTGAAAGCATCCCTTTAGATTTGTGAGAAGAGCGCAATGTGTTGCTGACAGTTGCTAACATCTTCGAGATCATTTGTTTAAATAAAGCAAAGTATCTTTTATTATATATATTATTTTAAAGAATGACTTGTAATTTATAAAAAAGAATTTCGTACAAATCGATAACCGACAAATGCTTATTATCTTTTGTTATTACATAAAAATTATTCTTAATTGTATTGATTTTAAATATAAAATATCTATAAAAATCTTAAGTAAAAATTCATTTTCATATATTTAAAGTGCTATTTTATATTTACGGGCTTAAAAATAAAGAAAAATCGTTAAGGTATTGTACAAATCCAAATCGAAATGAGTGTGTATACTAGCGTGTTTTAGAAGGAGGTAAGAAACTTTTCTTAGAGGTTTTCAGTTTTCTAAAAGCTATCATTATATTTGGAAAGCTGTAATTATTTATTCTTCTAAAGTTCTGTGGAAATTGTCTGACGATCAGCATTCTTTACAGTTAGCCTACTACTTCCTTTAATAGATCGACTGTGCAGGCCTCTTATACTTGCATAGAGTACAAGATCGTTTGTATCTTGTACATCTTTGCCTGTTTACTGTATTTTCATGTCTTATTTTTATATTTATTTGTGTATATTTATTTATATTTTTTACTAACACCTGCCACACTTTATCGTAAATAAATTCTTGTGAACAAAAAACTATGATTCATTTTGTAAATTAAAAGGGACGTATATCATTTTAAATATAATTTAATTTGAAATTGTAACGCAATAAAGATTTCTTGTAATGATGTCTTTTAAAAAAATTATTTTGTTTTATTAAATATTTTTACATTAAAGCTATTTACTGTAAAAANACAATATTATAATTTTTCTACAAAAATTTACGGTAATAGATAGTTTCATATAACTAAAGTTAAAGCAGTATATCTTTATATTTTATACTATATATTAGATCACCCGAATAAACTTTTTCATCAGTCTATAAATAAATAGACAGTCACAAATTGCATCTCATGTACTGTCCAAATAAACTCAATACAAGTCAATTCCAAATGTCTCCATATTGACAAGTATCCGCCAAAAGTTTATGAACAAAATGTACAGAGAAAGTTGTTTTCCTTGTCTACTTTGTTCTAGCAAAAGAATTACTTAAATAGCGGATTCCATGACCAAAAAGAGAAGAAAAAAATGACTTCTAATAATGACAATCATCCAGGAAGCTTTTGAAAAATGTCATCCGATCACGTAACGATGTAAGATTATTTATGTGCTAAATAAAATCAAATAATATATATATCATATTGCAAATCGTTTCTCATCAAAATAACGCGAGTTAATCGATAAAGGTCATTCCTTCTGGGATCACACGAGTAGTTTTTAAGAGGATTTAGATTTTATCGTCTGTAAAAGTAACATTAAAGAAAAATGTTACATACAAGACATTAGAGATTTAATAGATGTGTGTTTACATCCTATCCAATCTGAAAATGTAACAATTGGAACACTGGAATAGCCTCATAAGACCACAGATTTCAAGTGGAAGGAAAGTAAAGAAGCATAACGATCCCCTAAGGCAAAGTTAGATATCCAAAGAGACTAGTACGCTTTCTCAGCCTTGTCATCTTCTAAAAATAATGTCACATTGATTGATTATCCTCTTGATTGTCTTTTCTGCGCGACATGTGTACTAATGTAAACAATAATGTACAAATTCTGTTTACAAGACAACAGATGTTACTATGTAAATCTTTCCGAGATGTATTCAGTCATCGAGAGTAAATTTACTCGAAAGTTTTAATTATCAATTAAAATTTTAATGATTTTTTAGATAGTCAGCTATGAAACGAAATAGGAAATAATGATGTTTTTAGTTGTAAAACTGCATCAGGTTAGAGTTTGCCTGATTAATGATGATAATTTAAAAGTACAGGAATAAATAGAAAAATAATGATGGAAAAAGCAATAAAGTTTGCTCCGTTTTTCTTTCAGTTAAATATATAATAATTCAAAAATGTGACGTCGAATTAATGAAAATTTTACTCGAATATTTATTATATATCATTTTTTTTTTGTCGTTTAGTCTAGACGTAAATAAAAGAATATAATTAAATATTGAATATAGGCCCATATAATCGTTTAATATGGAAAATGAATAATGTTTTTCAATATTAAATGATATTTTTGTCAAAATTTGATAAATTTTCAACTAAATTAATAATAAAACTTCTAAATTGAATTAGATATGATTAACACTGATCAGCTTCAAATAATTATTTATAATTTAATTTAAAATTTTTACGTAAAATGATAGGAAAATTTAAAAAATAAATTGCAATTAATTTATGAAAATTGTATCAAATTTCTTATTTGTGAGGTAAATGAATTATTTAATTTAACAAAATCTAGATTATTAAAAAAAATTTATCATAAAATTCACTTATTTAATTTATTTTAGAAAATTCCGTAAACACACTTTTTGTCTATAAACTTTTTTTAAAATTATTTTCTAGTAAATTTATTTTATATAACGATACTCTTTAATCGTATTTATTAAAATTAACATGAAATAAACTAAAATATAACAAATATAGAATAATATACCTTGATATTTTCACAAAAAGATGGTCGTTTGTATCCAAGAGCGATTGATCCGCTTCTCTCTCCAGTTAACCAGATCTAAAAAAAAAAGTTTGATCTACTTTTAAAATTTTATACACTTCTTATTAACTATAATGCATTTAAAAATATGTCACACCTTCGCCCATATTTCTAAATGCACCATTATGGCACAAAATGGCACTAGTTTGGGTGCTCCTGCATATCACAATATGCAGGCACCCCTAAAGTTGTGCCACTGAATGATTCTATTTTATAATTTTAATTCTGAAATAANAATAAAAGATTATTTTGTAATATATTGTTAAATATATTCTCGTTAAATCGTTACTCATCCGTTAAAACAGTGTTAATTTACTAAGAAAATGCCATGGTAGGTCTTCTAATTTTATTAAGGGTTTGTCAATAGCAATAGCCAATTCATTAATACATCGCCAACGGTAATAATGTCATTCTATTAATGCTCTGTCCACATTCCTAGGTAATTTATATAGGCATCATCAATAAGATTCTACTCCAAAATATCGTCACATATGACAATCTATTAATGAGTTTCTCAATATTGTCAACAATGTTGAGTTGATAATGCATTTACAAACGTTCTGTTTATTGAGATATTAGCAATAATGTCCTTTATTAAATCTTTCAAATGTCAATTATAGTTAGAATAATTTCAGACGAAATTTAATGCTATTTCAATTCATTTAATTTTCGTTACACTTGACATTATTTGTAAATAAAGGAGTATTATAGATTTAAGTTTTGAATTTTCGATAAATAAATTGAATTTAGTAGAATAAGCGGAGAATAAATGAATTTATAAACTTATTCCCTATTGTATTCTCTCTGTGTTTAGGATATCAACAGGTCTGTCGAGAGAGGAAGCAGGAGATTTTCCCCGGTTTTTAGTTGTTCTTACCTCTTTAAATTAATTCTATTTTTAATAACAAAAATAAAATCTTTAAGAAACATTCTCTACGTATTTCATTTTTTCAAAAAAAAGGGCAAAAGGGGTTCGCTCTACCCTCTATACAATCGTTCAAACATCTGAATATCAAACCTTGTAAAGCTGACTGAAAATTTCTCTTAGTACTGCTAATTTATAATTAATAATTACTAAATTTTTATTACCGAGAGGAAAAACATACTGTATTTTGATTTAACTGTATAAATTAGAGCAAGAAGAACTTGTTAAATATTAAAAAATGGCGATAAAACATGCTTCTTATACAATATTATAATTTTTCTACAAAAATTTACGGTAATAGATAGTTTCATATAACTAAAGTTAAAGCAGTATATCTTTATATTTTATACTATATATTAGATCACCCGAATAAACTTTTTCATCAGTCTATAAATAAATAGACAGTCACAAATTGCATCTCATGTACTGTCCAAATAAACTCAATACAAGTCAATTCCAAATGTCTCCATATTGACAAGTATCCGCCAAAAGTTTATGAACAAAATGTACAGAGAAAGTTGTTTTCCTTGTCTACTTTGTTCTAGCAAAAGAATTACTTAAATAGCGGATTCCATGACCAAAAAGAGAAGAAAAAAATGACTTCTAATAATGACAATCATCCAGGAAGCTTTTGAAAAATGTCATCCGATCACGTAACGATGTAAGATTATTTATGTGCTAAATAAAATCAAATAATATATATATCATATTGCAAATCGTTTCTCATCAAAATAACGCGAGTTAATCGATAAAGGTCATTCCTTCTGGGATCACACGAGTAGTTTTTAAGAGGATTTAGATTTTATCGTCTGTAAAAGTAACATTAAAGAAAAATGTTACATACAAGACATTAGAGATTTAATAGATGTGTGTTTACATCCTATCCAATCTGAAAATGTAACAATTGGAACACTGGAATAGCCTCATAAGACCACAGATTTCAAGTGGAAGGAAAGTAAAGAAGCATAACGATCCCCTAAGGCAAAGTTAGATATCCAAAGAGACTAGTACGCTTTCTCAGCCTTGTCATCTTCTAAAAATAATGTCACATTGATTGATTATCCTCTTGATTGTCTTTTCTGCGCGACATGTGTACTAATGTAAACAATAATGTACAAATTCTGTTTACAAGACAACAGATGTTACTATGTAAATCTTTCCGAGATGTATTCAGNATATTTTCCATTTCTGTTGATTGATTAATTTTTTTTGATATCATAAAATTAATATATATATATATTTCCTTTTTAAATCCCATCATAAACATAAAGTAGCCTTTACAAATGACCTATTTATCCTTCTGGAAATTTTCCTCTCAAGTTTCCTAATCTTTCTAGAATATCAATTATAAAGTTTGCTTTAAATATTCGTATAACTTCCACTTCTCGTAACTCCAAATTATACTCTATATCCTATTTTCTGTATACTTCCCTAACTAATGTTATGCATATTTTATTCTATTTATTTATTTAAATATTACGAAAATAAAATATTTTTATATTTTATAAAATTTACCTTATAAAATTATAAAAAATAAGAGAGGACAATTTAACAGTATTAGCCGGCTACTAAACGAAACTTTTTAATAAAAATACATGATTTATTAGATTCTATAAGCATTCGTATCCTTATATTCTCATTAATAAAAGAATTTCTTACATATAAACTACAACACCGCCCTCGTATTATCTGTATTATTTTGGATATTCGATAGCTCTTGATCCACTCTTAAAATTATTTTTATAGTCCGACGAATAAACACACACCTTAAGCTTGTCTTTATCCGTCTTAATTACGATATATCTTATTCCATTTTAAAACATTTTATATATAAAATGATATTCTAATCGTTTGTATCCAAGAGCGATTGATCCGCTTCTCTCTCCAGTTAACCAGATCTAAAAAAGAAAGTTTGATCTACTTTTAAAATTTTATACACTTCTTATTAACTATAATGCATTTAAAAATATGTCACACCTTCGCCCATATTTCTAAATGCACCATTATGGCACAAAATGGCACTAGTTTGGGTGCTCCTGCATATCACAATATGCAGGCACCCCTAAAGTTGTGCCACTGAATGATTCTATTTTATAATTTTAATTCTGAAATAATTGCAGATTTTTAAATATCGAAAGAGCTATTAAAAGCACGTCATCAGTATTACCACTGTATTATCATGCAAAATGTATTCATATATTAATTCTCCTTAATTGATATGTCTTAATTTATTCGTACTTAATTCTTAATTTTATTGTTATTATTTTAAATTTTTGCCCCTAACTCTTGCCTCTCCTTAGCCTGGGTCTAGTGAGCCTATGGGAAATTTGCCATTGCTTATTAAATTCGAATTATGACGTTTGCTATTCGTATCAAATAGAAAATCTTGACGTCGAATTAATGAAAATTTTACTCGAATATTTATATTATATATCTTTTTTTTTTTGTCGTTTAGTCTAGACGTAAATAAAAGAATATAATTAAATATTGAATATAGGCCCATATAATCGTTTAATATGGAAAATGAATAATGTTTTTCAATATTAAATGATATTTTTGTCAAAATTTGATAAATTTTCAACTAAATTAATAATAAAACTTCTAAATTGAATTAGATATGATTAACACTGATCAGCTTCAAATAATTATTTATAATTTAATTTAAAATTTTTACGTAAAATGATAGGAAAATTTAAAAAATAAATTGCAATTAATTTATGAAAATTGTATCAANAAGTAAGAACTTATTTGAAAAAAATGTTGATAAACTCTTCCCTCCTTTAAAATTAAGAAAATAAATAAATAAGTTGCAGTCAAACTTGTGAACAACGGACACGAATGGGAACATAAATGATCACTGTCTGTTGTTTGAAGGTGATTTTGTACGCGTTTCAAAAAGAGAGAGGCTCCTGAAAAAAATGGCCGCCGTTTAGAGGTGGCCTTTATTAGAGGTTCGACTGTATTTGAATGTGATAATACATTTAAATCAGATAAAATGCTATTAATTAATATAAACAAAATGTAAGTACTATTACTTAATTTTAGTTTATAAAGAGAGAGATGCTGTATGTGATTGGAAAAAAATATGAAAGTTTAAACATGCCAAATATGGTCAGGAATTTGTAATATTTAAATATAATTTATAATTCATTCTTTTTTTTGTATAAATCAACAAAACTTATCCATATATAGCGCGCAAGTTATTCGCTAATTTTAATAAACAATATGTTTTCTTAATATAAAAGTGTTTTTTATCGTGTGCAAATTATTAAAATTTCAATCTTATTTAGAATAAAATTCCACCATCTATTTAAAAAAAAAACTAAATGAAAAATTCTTCGTAAATAATTACATTATGTAAGAGAAAAAATGCCATCAGAAGAATCATAAAAATTAATTTTTTTTATCATAGAATGTAAATTTTGAAAAATAAAAAGGAGTGGAGTATATAAAAAGTAATAAAAAAAATTAATAATATAAAAAAATAAAACGAAAACTCAATAGAATATTTTTAAAGCTTTAAATATACAAAAAAAATATAATTTTTTATAATTGAAATAAACGTTTATTTGCCAATTTAATCAACTATAATAATATATTTATTCGTTCAAATATTGAAATTCGAAGCGTATTAAAAAATAATATGAAAATTAATTATAATTATTAATTTATAATTCTGTAGTTTCTATTAAATAATTTAATTATTTTTTAATACATAAAAAAACATTATTTTATTGTCGGAATATTTACTTTAATGATTGAATTTAGGAAATCTGTAGAAATAATTTTTTTTTATATTTTATAAAATTTACCTTATAAAATTATAAAAAATAAGAGAGGACAATTTAACAGTATTAGCCGGCTACTAAACGAAACTTTTTAATAAAAATACATGATTTATTAGATTCTATAAGCATTCGTATCCTTATATTCTCATTAATAAAAGAATTTCTTACATATAAACTACAACACCGCCCTCGTATTATCTGTATTATTTTGGATATTCGATAGCTCTTGATCCACTCTTAAAATTATTTTTATAGTCCGACGAATAAACACACACCTTAAGCTTGTCTTTATCCGTCTTAATTACGATATATCTTATTCCATTTTAAAACATTTTATATATAAAATGATATTCTAAATTGCCTAATTTATATTTAATTAATAATATAACTTCTTCCTCTAATTATCAGTATATAATTTCCCCTAATTTCAGCTAATTAATATAATAACTTTGTCCAAAAAATGTTAGTAAATGTTATATACTACCTCAATACTCATTGTAGTTATTACTAATTTCTATATTTTAATCATCTTTACTATGTTAACAGCCAAGATTTAAGAATTAGCTCGTTGAAAATTCTTTGATTAGTGGCCCTGAATTCGATTTCTGACAAGAAGGTGCACAGTCGACAATTTATCTTCTAATTCCTCGACTTCATTCCCACTTCAACAAAGGTCGTAATTTGTATTAAGATTTATTAATTTAAAATTTGTTTTTTAGTTGATGTAGTGATTTTAACGTGCCATTATTCCGAACTTAATAAATAAATTTCTACCACTTCAAATTAGTATTAAATTTATTAAAATAATTGCTAAATTATTCACGAATTTTTCGTCAAGAAAATCTAACAGAATAACAAATTTTCCGATTCGCTTCTTGTTTAATGTTGCCCCTAGATAATTCAATTAGCCTTAATCATATTCATTAAAGATTTATATAATATTTTTGATACCACTACACCGATGTCAAAATAAGTTATACTTACATTCATGCCCTCGCTTATGTAGATGACATTGTATTAATAACCTTATCCATTCTGTTTTATAGGAGAAAATAAATTTATTAAATAGCTTATATCTCCGTAACAAATCATAAATTGCACTTTTTATATTTACTGTTGTTGCTATTATTAACGGAAGATATCACGCATCTATTATATTCTACCTTTACAAATCATAGATTAGATGTGGTCTCTCATTTTAATTAACACGATGTCGTATTCTCTACCATATCTAAACTTCGACCACCATTTAGGCAATGTAATTTGATAGTTAGTGGCATGATCTTCCGCAGAAAATTTTCCAAGGGGGGAAAGTTTGGAGACAAATAATTACATCGATAAATTTTTATTTAATTATTTAATCTTTGGGGACGTTTTTTCACAAATAGATTAGAGAATACGATGTTGTATCAATATATAAAGACAGAAAAAGTGTCCCATAATCCAGTGGCGCGTTGTCCTATGAAAGAAAAAAAGAAATTGCCTGAGACCCCACCAACAAGGACCCCAAATTAATCTTTTATAAGAAAATATTTCTCAAAAATAGTTCAACAAAGAATAATGTCCGAAGTCAACACTGAACGTGGGGCCTCTTAATTCAAATTTGCCAGGGTCCCCAAGAAGATATAATGTGCCACTGTCATGATCGAGGGTGTACGGTTACGTATCTCAATCATTTTTACGATTATAATTTCTGAAGTTTTTTCTCAATCCTCCTAGTTAGTAGTTACTTTCTTATATTGAGAAGAATGGAAAATCGTAGTGCAGTTTAAGAATTCTCCTTCATGTTACGTTCGTATGCAACTTTTACATATATCTCGCTTCAATAACTATTCTTCCTGTTTGAAAAATCCATTATTCTTTTTTTTTAATTCGTAAATTTTTTTTAATATTGATCGTTTCATACTCCACTGCTTACTACTTTCAGAAACTGACAAATTTCATTTGTTTCTAATCCACTAAAGCATTTAATTAATTTTTTTAATACATCTAATTCTTTGTTTTCTTTTCTAACTCTTCTTTAACATACAATCTTGTTTTATGAGAAACGAGCAAATGATGAAAATTCTAATATATCCGTATAATGCTCGTTCCTTTCATAAATTTTTTCGAAATTTTTCAGATCGAGTATTATCTCCTTCCTCCTTCTAATATTGATAAAACAATTCATATCAATTTACTTCTACAGAATGCTAAATTATAAGGAACAGCTAGACTACGAAACTTTCTCCAATTCAATCTATTACCCGGTAAAATAACATTCTACTCGCAGATTTCCCATAGGAATATATTTTTAGTATTCTTGGCTTTTTACATAAAAACATCATGATCCATCTTAAACTGAACAGATACTATCTACGATATCAAAATAAAGTACAATATATTCAGCATTTTTTTTCTTTTATTCTAATACAATTGTCTTTTTCTTGTAGCCAAGTTAATGATGACTACATATTTTCCATTTCTGTTGATTGATTAATTTTTTTTGATATCATAAAATTAATATATATATATATTTCCTTTTTAAATCCCATCATAAACATAAAGTAGCCTTTACAAATGACCTATTTATCCTTCTGGAAATTTTCCTCTCAAGTTTCCTAATCTTTCTAGAATATCAATTATAAAGTTTGCTTTAAATATTCGTATAACTTCCACTTCTCGTAACTCCAAATTATACTCTATATCCTATTTTCTGTATACTTCCCTAACTAATGTTATGCATATTTTATTCTATTTATTTATTTAAATATTACGAAAATAAAATATTTTTATATTTTATAGATTATCCTAATGCAAAATAATCAAATTCGGTACAAGGAAAGTATACAAATAATACACTAAATGAATACTTAGCTATAAGAGAATACTTTCAAATTAATTTATTATTTAAACCTTTTAAAGTTATAAAATATTTAAAAAGTTACTTTAAGGCTATAATAAAATTTAAAATTATTTTTCAAAACCTTATTCTTTAAGAATTAAATCGTACAATCCTAAATGAATTTAGTGTGTTTTTCATGTCTAATGTTAAATAATTCTCAATAATTTCTCTTATTTAAAAAAAAATAATCCAATTTCTAAAAATATTTAAATAATTTTATTAAAAATCAAAGCGTAAACAAGACATTACATTTATTTATTAGATCCTTACGTTATTTTTTATTTATATCTTAACAATTTAACCACTTAAATAGTAAGCTTGATATAAAAAAGAGTATTTTTTTATCTATATAAAAAAAGTATAACAGAAATAAATCCACTATTAATAGTTTACTCGATATATTGATAAAAATCTAAAAGTACGAACACTAAAATGTCACTAAGCCGGGTCTGATGTCGCCAAATTCGACTTCGCTCCCACTTTCTATAAATAGAAACTCGAACATCGTTGAAACAAAAATTGATCGTAGCGATTTCCTCTCTTTAACAACACGCGATTTTTCAGATTATTAAACAAAATTATCAATGGATCCAATAAGATAATATTTGTCTATTATTTGTATATTTATTTATATATATGTAAGCATTACATTGTCTACATTCGGAAGTTTCAATTAATTGACGAATATACCTTATTAATATATTTATAATTCAAACAGACCTACAGTTGTGTGCTTATATATAAATTTCGGCACGTCTAGAAGCGAATATAATAATATAATTATCATTAATATATAAATAAATTAAACTAAAATATTTAATTGATAAAAATAAGCTAATTAAGAAAATTTTTATCATAAAACATTTTAATACTTCACATTAATTTTTTAGCATAAAAAAAGTTATAAAATTCAACATTCATTTCCTAATTTATCTTTAAGTTTCGTAGAATATATAACGTATAAAACGAATTAAACAAGCTTTAAAATCTTTCTTTTCCATTAAAAAATACACATGTTTACATTAATTTTACACCAAAAAAAATTAATACTAGTAGCAAACTATTAAAAAAATTCCAAGTTTATCTGATATTATACCAACCACATATATAAAAACACCTAACTATATCAATATATCAAAAGATATGATATTCTGAAGTCTAACTAAACAGAGCAGAACGTGAATAGACCTACTCGAAATGATAAATTGAGAAAGCTTGAATCATATAACCCCAAAATAAAAATGATCACGCACAGCTATAAAGCCGAATCAATATACATGACTTAGAATAAAAGGAAAAAAAAGAACAATACACATGAATACGTAACAATACTCACCAAAAGAATAAGTATCAATATCGAAGCCATAATTAGAGTTCCGACAATCCACGTGAACGTCAAGTTCGGTATCCCGAATGAAACGTCGACACCGTACTGGAGTCATGTTCACGACACACTCAGCCGCCTTCTATTCCTCACCTCATCAAAACTTGGCTGCCCTACAATACGTGACGTGAATGCTCCTTCTGATTGGGTAGAGACTCTCCAGTCACGGCGCAAGCCCGCTTCAGGCGACACCAAAACATAAGTTGCAATTCAAGCGATAATGCCAGTTTATACAGTTACAACAATATCAAAATTCTCCGCGTTTATCTTTAATCCTAATAACAATCTATTAATGGTAACTAAATATGATTCGGATTAAAATTAACTCAAAAATTACGTAATAATCACGTGATCCAAAAGTCATTATGACGATGGTAAACATCGTCATTACGACTTGTAAGTGTTCGAGTTTTTTAGTTAATTTTAACCTCGTTGTTTTTCATATTTTGTATTTTATTTTCATTTTTAAAAAAGATCCAAATTATATTTAATTGTAAAAGTGAAAACTTAAATTGTAACGGCTTCGAATTAGGACTAAAACGTATTTAGGAATTATTACATAAATAATTAAGACGAGTCGTAATTTGAAATATTGTAATTTTAATTCAACATAATTTGAATTAAACTCAATTCTAATCGTTTTTGACATTTTCTGTTTTCTCAATGATGCTTTTCTCAACTTATATTTATTTAAATAATAATTTTACTATTTTTCATTTAAAAACGATTACATATTTAGCTTTCATTGTTTACGTATTGTTTTTCACATCATTTTGCCACTTTTTCATATCAAATTTCTTAATAATTTGATAGGGTTTATGTAGTATAAATTATTAATAAGGTCCGGCAACGTTAAAATAGTCTTTTTTATTATTTTTTTTTATAGAAACTCATTAAATTAGCCACATAAACACTGCTAAAAGTACTTTTATCACAAGGAATTATTTATTATATCGCTTTTTTTTCCTTTTAAATTCCGCTAATGCAGAAGACAAAATTAGAAAGTTTGAAATTAAATCTCTTAAGAGAATTCAGACATTTTCCACATATCCTAGCTTATCTTAATATTTTGATTGTATTTTTTTAATCAAACTGTTTATTTTAAATGATAAAGTTAAAATGTAAAATAAAATCATAACTCTGCATTCATTTATATAAATCCTGTGTATCTGTTCATTTAAATAAATAGATTGAAGAAGAATCCTGTCTGAATAACATCCATTTAAAAGTCTATTATCTAAATTCTAAATATAAAAAAACTAAAGAACACAATATTATTTTCGAATTTCCTTTATATATTACAAAGTAAGACTGTTTACACGTTTTTTCTACTCTATAAAAAATATGTTTTTTTATGATTCATAAGAAGAAATCATAAGGAATATCAAAGATTCAGACAGACAGTCTTGTTTGTAGGTAATAACTTATATATATATATATATATNCAAATCTACTAAATAAAATTATAATAAAATCTTATTACAGAAATGATTAAACATACATTTGTCAAGCCATTTTAGTAGAGTTGTTAAAACTTTGAATAAATAAAAAGTATAATATTAGAAGGCTAAAACCATTTAGAATATAATAATTTTATTTCTATAATTTTATATGTTTGTATCATTATTATTATATACAATTGATCTAAATTATAAAAAAATGAAGTTTTATTTATTTTTTTTAAAAGATTTCCGCGTGTAAATTTGAAAAAATAAGAATTTAAAAAAATTTTATACAGCAGCCTATAATGAAGTATCTATCATTCGGTAGCTGTTGCACCCTATTAAATTCATTGGCGCCTCTAAAGAAAGCGCACTCCATAATTTGGAAACCGCTTCATAACTTATTCATACTAAATATCATCTTTTGATAACCAGCTGGATGACTCTTCTATATCAGTTTGAATTTATGCATAATTACTTCTCTTCATTTTTGATTCATCTCAATTTTTCTTACGTATTTTTTTTATTATTCTAGAGAACTTTTTTTTTTTATATAAATGCCTCGAAGCTTCTATAGGATGCGAAGATCATGTTTTCTACATTAAATAATATTATGCAAAGATGTAAACATTCATTATCCTTCTCAGTAACTCGGAATATCCTAAAGGCGCAAAATTTAGTTAGACGAAAAGCAGCAAAGTTGAATGTTGTCACAGGTAAGTATTTTAAAATATTATCTCTTAAACTCGAGCGAGGAATTATGTGCAAGAGTAGCTCATTAAAAGACTAAAATAATTTTAAAATATTCCTCTTTTTTTTCTTTTTTACCAAGATTTAATATACCTAATCCTCTTTGAAATTAAAGTGCACAAGGGAACGTATATTACAGGCAAATGTAGTAAATAAGAAGCTTTTATCATGTAAAATTACTAAAGTTTTCGTTTTAGTTCTTTTCAAAAAATGGTTTTAAACTCTTGTTATTAAAATGAATAATGAATAAATTGCTTTAAATTCGTTTTGTTTAAATTAAATTTAAGAAAGAAAAAATAAATAAATAAATAAATAAATTTTTCATATATTAAAATTGAATTCAAAAATTTACCATTTAAAAATAAAATTCGTTATTTAATTTTATTAATTCGATTATAACTTTATTATACATTCAAAATACGCATTATTTTTTTAATGATTTAATTAATACAAGTATAATTTTTATTATAAAATTAAATCATTAATGTCCCTCGTCGTATTAATAATTTATACGCCGTTTTCTTTGTCATTTAAATGACTTGTTTTTAACTACGATTCTAGTTAAAGAAAAGATAAAAAAATATATAAGTATAATTTCATATTAAACTCTTAAGACAATTCACTTTATTATAAATTTGTAGTAATAAAAATAAAATATTTAGAAATTAAATATTATCACGTAGCAAAATTTAAATATAATTCGAATTAAAGAAAACAAAAAAAATAATAAGTATGAACATTAAAATCGTTTACTTTATCAGAAAAACAAAATAAAAATAAAAGACTTATTTACTTTTTTTTTTTGCTTATTTATTCATGATTTTAAGTTGGAAAGTTTTCTTTATTCCACTCTTGAAATCGTGAATAGTAAAAACCGAATGGTCGTTCACCTCGATGAAAAACTGAAAACATCAAAATAAATGATGATATTTATTTTCGGATACAATTTTAATGACGAATTCTTAAAAAAAAAATAATTATCTCCAATAAATTTACATTAAAATTCAAATTATAACAGAAATAGTTTGTTTAATAAATAAATTAATAATATTATTTTCGATTATTATAATGCATAACAACAATTTTTATTTAATTTATTCGTAAATATTCTTTTAAATATTTATTCATGTTAATTAATGTTTATATTAAAATTTAAATACTTTAATTTTAATTTTTCTCTTTTCAAGCNAACTTTTTTTTTATATAAATGCCTCGAAGCTTCTATAGGATGCGAAGATCATGTTTTCTACATTAAATAATATTATGCAAAGATGTAAACATTCATTATCCTTCTCAGTAACTCGGAATATCCTAAAGGCGCAAAATTTAGTTAGACGAAAAGCAGCAAAGTTGAATGTTGTCACAGGTAAGTATTTTAAAATATTATCTCTTAAACTCGAGCGAGGAATTATGTGCAAGAGTAGCTCATTAAAAGACTAAAATAATTTTAAAATATTCCTCTTTTTTTTCTTTTTTACCAAGATTTAATATACCTAATCCTCTTTGAAATTAAAGTGCACAAGGGAACGTATATTACAGGCAAATGTAGTAAATAAGAAGCTTTTATCATGTAAAATTACTAAAGTTTTCGTTTTAGTTCTTTTCAAAAAATGGTTTTAAACTCTTGTTATTAAAATGAATAATGAATAAATTGCTTTAAATTCGTTTTGTTTAAATTAAATTTAAGAAATTAAAAATAAATAAATAAATAAATAAATTTTTCATATATTAAAATTGAATTCAAAAATTTACCATTTAAAAATAAAATTCGTTATTTAATTTTATTAATTACAATAC